CGAACTATAGAAACTAAGTACCTCGCTTAGGTTTGTTTATGTCGATTAGAACAGTCTGCCAGTCCAGTAAAGTCAACCCCTTTAATTTTGGAGAAGCAAAACATAAAAATTTAACAAAAGTTGTGAATGTTATGGCAGAAATATAGGCAAACGTTCTGGACGTGCACTCATTCTAATTTAAGTATTAAACACTAGGTTACATAATCAACTGACTTTCTGCGTCGAAAACAGTCCACTCTACCCCCTGGAGTTAGGTTAGTGGCAGCCCACTCCCTCCAATCAGAGAGGAGACCCATTACTCCATCCTCTCTACCCAGGAATGCTCACAGTGGCCCTGAGAGAAGACCCCCTCCCTTCTCTTTATCCACCGTGTGCAGCCCCTTGGGTTGTAAGTTTTGTTTTTCTTCACTATCCAGGGGTCCATGGGGCTAAATCAGTAATTGAGCACTTCGTTACCCTCTTCCCCATTTTCAGCCACACAAAGTGGTTGTTGTTCTTATTTTACGAGGAATCAAGGAGAAGTTGATTAACAGTCCAGCAAAGCAAGTGGACCATAAAAAAACGCATCAGACATAAAAAGGTTCACGTAAAATCGTGCAAAAGCTTGCGTCATCGACTTTCTTTTAACCAAAACCTTGAACGATGCAGATGAACACTGAGGTTTCTTTAAAGCTACAAACCATTTCCCACAGTTTTTGCATAGAATACATCTTTCGTAATTTGTCAATGTCAGTTAACAATTGTTAATCAATCGTAGGAATTTCAGGGAAATTCGGACAAAAATACACCGGTTACTCACAGCTTCACGGTACTTATCTTGCTCGCTTTGTAAGGGTTCTTCCCCTAACATGGTATGGTTACAACTGCATGAGACTTGAGCTTTATGGCTGCAAGAACGGTGGGCCAGTATTTAAAAAAACTGGTGTGCAGTTCTGTGATACGTTTGAATTATCTATAACTAGACAGCAACTTCAACGATGACACAATTTAATTATTTTCGTTGTTTCTGCTGTCGTCTTGTGCTTTTTACTAAAGAGTTTATTGCTGGATCTCCCCCTTCATATTTAGACTTGATTTCGTTTTTAAAAGTTGTGTTCTGTATTTCTTCTTGTGACTGCCGAGCAGGTTTTACGGTCGCCGGTTCCAGGCCCTGTGTGCACGGAAAGTCTTAGAATGGAAACTCGGAAAATACCAGACTCTGCCATCACGGCTTCCACATTTTGGGGCTCTGGTATTGAGCCACATTTTTCCAGGTTTGGATCGTGCAAAATAATGATGACATGTTATAACTTTATGAAATTGATTTTTGTACTGAACGTCCTTTTCAGCCCCCGACAACAAGTAACCAGAAAGCGTGTTACACCACAGGCGTCGCAAACTCACGATTCAAGAAATCGATCAAATATTTATGATTTATGTACGCGCATCGAGTGGCACGTGACCACCTAAAGTGCGCGGTGTTGAGTCACCCTTCTGGCCGTTGAGAATTTGAGCGCTCTAAAAGGCATTGTCTGGAGTTCAAAACAACGAAGGATATAAACGCGCAACGATATAAAATGTTACTTTTCTAAAATAAAATGAAGAAAATCTACTCACCTTTCGTGGTTTCTGTTGTCCATTTGGCCTATTGCATCATTTTGGGGGTATTTGAGGTGTTTGTAGCAGCTTTCTAATGCTACAAACACCTCTAATCGTGAGTTTGGGTCGCCTGTGGTTATACGGCAATGCGTCCAGCGATTGAAGTTTCTAAATAATTAATTTTGTCAGTTTTGAATTGGGACAAAAACCCCGATGTTTACGAATCTAACTATCAGTAATACTGTCCTATTTTCCACAAGGAGAAGAGGGCCATCCGCTTAATCTTGGTTTGAAATATTTTTCTCGGTGCAATTATTTAACAGCCATTAGTGTGCAGTGACTGGAGGTCTTAAATTTCGGAGAAGACTAAAAGAAGGACATTAACGGTTTCTTGACTTTAAAGAACTTAAAATTATTGAAAAAATGATGCGCGCGCACGCAAAACTTTAATTTCAAGTGACAATTTAGTCCGAGCGATCTTTCATTGGCGCAAATTTTAACAATGCCTTTTAAACTTTTGCACATTATACTTGCAGGCTGATTCAAATCACCATCACGGAGCTTGGCTTACAAAAACTCGAGATCAAAATCAGTGGCTCCAGGTGAAATTTGATCAAAGAGTTGAAATAAGACGTGTGGCGACACAAGGAAGACCAAATAGTAACCAGTGGGTAAAAAGCTACAAGCTAAACTACAGCTCTGACGGCTTACTGTTTTATCAATATCGAACCAACAAAAATCAAACTGTGAGTAGTTTTGCTGATGCACTGACGGTTACTTCCTTGTTTTCTCAACGTAGTTCAACTACTCGAAACCTAACTGACTCAGCAAGAAAGCGCAATTTTAGTAGGTTGACAGAAAATTACCCCAACCTTCCTCCTAGACGGGATGCCGGTTGGTTTATTGTTGGTTATTTCACGCATTTTCAGTTTGCAATGTAAACTGTTCACTCGGCTCATAAAATAATATAAACATGGTTGATAGAAAGCAAGGTTATACTGCAAGACCAAGATAGTGAAAGACCACCTCTTCTGTTCCGTAGCGTAATATAGATATGTCATATCAATCTCCACCTTGGGTTTTCATATACTGGCTAAACTCCATCTTAGTTTTCCATCAGGCAGCTTATTCACATGTGCTATTGTGTACTTCTTCAATCTAATAGGTATTCATTGGCAATTCAGATAGATATATGGTGGTAAGCGACGCGCTTACAAACCCGCTAATCGTTGCTCAGTATGTTCGTGTTCTACCTGTCACGTGGTACAATTACATTTCAATGAGAGTTGACTTTTACGGCTGCATTCCAGGTAAGGTGATACAGCAGATATATCATGATAATTTACAGTTATCTGATAAAACAAAACATGATTCTTTAAGATCTCTTTTGTCTGTAGAAGCCTTGCACGTGGATGGAGCCCCTTCCTCGTGTTTTCAATTCGTTGCAATGATTTTTTTCCGTTTAATAGATAGCCCTTGGCTTTCTCTACAAGAAACCAATATTTTTTGACGTCATAATTTATGCGCCCGCCATCTTGGATTTTATTATTTTCTCAGAAGCTCGGAAAATAACGTAAATCGATGGACAATTGGTTCAAAATGGAATGGAATGTAGAAATGGTAATTCTGCGATACTGGTCAAGAAAACTAGAAAATAAACCCAAACAATACTGCCAAAAAGATGAAATCTGTCTTGAAATCTGACATCTCAAAATGCTATTACATTACCATGGAAATATGAAATGAAGTGGAGAAACAATTAGCACACCAAAATTTCAGCCAGGAATGAATGAAAGGCTGTACAACAGAGATTATAATAGAAGCCGAGAAATTTCGGGGATTTGATTGGTTGATAGTACCCCTATTTCTACGTAATAGTAATATAACAGCAAAAATGGATGGTATAACAAGGTTACCATGACAACAATGGGCACAATTACGTTTTTGCCTTTGTGTAAAAAAGTTGCTGTAAGAAATTTCCGGGGAGGATATTCAAAAGCTCGCCGAAAAAGCAGTAAACAAAAAGACATGGATGAATGTTTGGAAGTAGTGGGCCGAAAGCAAGGGTCTTAACGACGACATTGTCAAATACGAAGCCAAAAAACTGGACGAATGTCTCACGCGATTCTTTCCCGAGATTCACAAAAGCGATGGCTCTAATTATGAGTGAGTTTATGTTTCCGAAAGAAATGATTTTTCAGAAAATGGCAAAATATAAGGAGAGTTTAATTCGGAAGAGATGCATGTGCTTTTCATAAACATCAGAAAAATGCCCGTTATAAATAAGCAGTTGTCTGTGAAATCCGTTCTTACTTTTTTTTCGTACAAAGCTTCATCTATCTATTTCCTAGACCCTCCAGTTCCGACTGCCGTGTATCCTCTAAACGGTCAGTTTGACACACGAGACCTGAGTTCCCATGAAAATCCACCAGGCGTCCCCTACAACGTACAGCTCGCACCAGGCCCTTTTGGAAACCCAAATGGCTCGTACCAGTTCTGGGGCTGTTAGAATGGGCGTGCTGACTGGAGATGATAGATTTCTCAAAGGAAGAATATCTTAATTGCAAGTCTACAACAAGGCTTTGACGGAGAGAGAAGTGCACGCTGTCAGAGGACTCTGTTTTCAAAAAGGTTTGTTTGGTGCTATTACTATCCATAGGAAACAGACATCTTTATCGTTCAACTTTTCCCCACTCAAAGGAGGCTGTTGAAAGCAAACAGCTACCCTCCCGTGATATTCGTGTAGCTTTACAGAATATCCGTGAAGTTTGTCGGAAGGGCTGTTACTGAAAATTAAAACCCAGCAGGAACCAATCAAAGACGAGCCCTGGGTGCGGTGTTCCTGGGTGATTCATTTCACTCTCATGGTGCCTGTGATATGAGCATGAAAACCTAACAAAATGCCAACTGTTGGATCGGGAGATACTCCCTGTAACGGTCTATACGGCCAGCCTCCCCGATTACTGAAACGTTTGCACCCTCCAGGTAAATGAAGAGTTGGGATCTCCCTAGTTGCATAAAGTATAGATAAAGGTGACAAAAGCTGCTATTAAAGAAAAAGGCCCTTTCAAAATACCTGGAATCAATCTAAGGTTATTGAAGAAGGAGATTCAGTGTGTTTTTTGTAAGTATGTGAAAAGGCTACCATTTTCCACGAAAGCTGTAATGAAAGAGGTTGCATTTTGTGTCAATGAGTATTATTTAAATGTAAGTATATGGACCTAGGGGCGGAGCCTGGTTGTGGACCTAGGGGCGGAGACTCTGTTGGTTACGTAACCAAATTACCCTACCCTCCCTCCCGGGGTGGGTGCAGGATAACAGGCCAAGGTCTGCTCATGGCAGTTGCTTGTTATTGCAGATCTTCATTCAGCACCAGTCCTTTCTCCGAACGATGACTTAAAATATACGTATGTGTGATATTTCATAACATTAGACCTTTTCAAGTTCATTAAGCATCTATTTTTATTTTGAGGAACTGCTCTTTCAAAAGAGTTACGATATGACAGACACCATTTAAACAAAGTTTGTTGTCTCTCAGTAAATTTGGGAGTCTTACCATGTTCTTATTCTCGGTATGGGACTGGAACTAACTTGCAATGGAGACTCATGTGGAGCAATAGCATTATAGCATCCTTAATAAATTCACTATCGCTAATGCTTTTTTCAGTTCCATTAAGTCCCGTGGCATTTTTCCCTCTGAACGGACAATACGAAACAACAGACATCAGTCACAGCTCCAATCCCCCCGCGCAAGCGTCTGGCGTTGAACTGGCGCCAGGCCCCGACGGTAGTACGGGAGGCTCGTACCAGATCTCAGGAAACTTAAGCAGTTTCCTTCAGTTCCCAAACAAAGGAGGTCTGGACACCAGGTACTCAATGACGTTCCTTGCTTGGATTTCCCATGAACAAACTGAAGGTCCGATCTTTTATTATGCCGGTGCAGGATATGGCGTTCGATTTCTCCTCAAGGATGATCGTTTCAACGCTAGGTTATGTAGCTCAAACCTCACTTTGATGGAAGGCCCTGCAAGTGACATTCTTGAGCCTAACACGTGGCATTTTGTTGGCGCGTCTTACAACTACTTCAGTGGCGAGCTCATTCTTTCGATCAATGGAAGTTTTCACAAGAAAAGAGACGTTGCTTGGCCTGACGAGTTGGCAACTCAGCAAAGTGTCATTATGGGAGCCGTACCAGGTGAAGCCGGTAACTATAAGGGGAGAATTTCGTGCGTACAGCTTTATGACCGAGTATTATCTGAATCCGAGATCGAAGATGCGAAGAAGTTGTGCTTTATAACAGGTGAGACATTTCTCAGTCTCTTTTGTTCTATTCTGTCCCTTTGATATACGTGAATTCATTGTGTTTATCTGACTTTTTTTTTCTTCAAAGCCTGTCTGCTTGCTTGCCTGCCGAAAGGGCTGACGCCGAAAACGTCAGCATCACTAACTCACTATCAAAGTTGAATTACCTTTATCAACTTCAAGTTGATAACTAGCTAAATGTTTCACTTGTTCACTGACGCAGGGCAATGATTTCTTAATATTAATTAGGCTACTTATACCTTTGCCTGCCTGCCTTCTGTCTCTCCGGCACCCGTCCATCAATACCCTTTAGCTCTCCCTTTCGTGTCTGCCTACTGTCCCTCGAATCCCCGCCCTCCTGCTTTCCTCTGTCCATTCCTTCGTTCCTCCAGTGTCTTTTGAAACTAATTTACTTTCGTACTCTTTTATCAAGGATGTATGAACAGTGGTTTAGACGTGCTTTTTGTTGTCATATGACCGCAGTAAATAACACAGTTCATCTGTTTCCTTTTTCCACTGTCTCCAGGACGGTCAAAATCCAATCAAACTGTTCATGGTGGTGAAGCAGTGGAAATGAGATGTGATGCTTTGGAAGGTAAAACAGTGCGTTGGAAGAAAGATGGCGCTGTACTGCAGATGAAAACCGCTGGTAATGACACAAGCCTGCCCATAAGCTCTGCTCAGCAATCTGATGAAGGAATTTACACCTGCGATATTATAAACAGCACAGGGGAGGTACAAGCATCATACAATATCACTCTGAGAGTAAAAGGTCAGTGTTTTGAATAATCTCAGGCGTAGAACGGGGAAGAGGGAGAGAGAGAGCGAGAGCGAGAGCAGACAACGCAGGCTAGAATAATCCAAATGTAATCCGCTCATGATCATCTTCTAGTTATTCTCTTGTAACGTGAGTAAGTTACTTACTTACAGTTGTCTTCTATTCGCTATAAATGGTGTACAATAACAAAAAAATTAACTCGGAATGATAATCCTCCAAGGCGCATCTTTGTCCAACTTTTGCAACTTAACAACAAAACATGTCGAGACAGTTTCTTTGAAGTAACCGCGAAGTAAAGTCAAAGGCTGTTTCTTCCGATTTCCTTTTCAGATCCAAATTTCCTTTGCTCTTCGTTCAAAGTTGGTTACAAATCTGATAGTATATGGAAGCGCTGGAGTGTGTTGCACGTAAATGAGCTCCGTGCAATTTACGAAGGAGAATGGTTGAGGGCGGATATAGGAGCTGCTATGCCAAGTTCTTGTGTGTTGAAAGAGAGCTGTGGTGTCCAGGCTCCTGGTTGGTTGAACGGCCAAATCCCGTCGCGTGAAGCTGGGATTGTTCAAGGCCAAGTTTGCTTCAACTTTCGTAAAGATTGTTGCTATTATTCATTACCAGTACAAAAAAAAGAAATGTTCTGCCTTCTTTGTTTACAAGCTAAAGGAAGTTCATCCCATTATGCCTGGAAAATACTGCTTCACGACAAACACACTAGGTTGGTATAAGTAGCAATAATCTTGTTTACGGTGGCTGCGCCCGAAGGATGAGTGGCAGTCAAATCCGAACTGTCCTACCGAAACGACAACTTAATAGTCTTTTCTTCACAACTAACTAGCTGGGAGTAATCTGTTTACGGCCGGTTGAGTTGGTTGTGTTTTTCTATGTTATATTGAAGAAGACACTTTTTCGTTTGATCTGGAAACGAATTTCTGAATACTGATGAAGCATGACGAAAGTTATCGAGAAACTTTCGCCAAGTCATCAGTTTTAACCAAGTTTGATGCTGGTTAAAGAGATGATCAGCGAAAACAATTGCCGGAGAGCTCCCCTTTATTTCTCCAACGTATAGATTACGAGAAACCCCAAATCACATAGAACATTTATAGTGTAGCTTGGAGTAATATTGATATAAAATCAGCTTTTAATGTTTGTAGGCTTGTTTAATCCTACAGAATTTGCTGATCAACTTAAGAACGTCATGTATACGTCCTCCAAAGCTAACCACACTCTAACTGGTCACGTTATGTCGTCTGAGAAATCTGTGGAAAACTCTCTTTAGTGCATGGAATATTGTGCAAAGTCATCGAATGAACAATGTAAATCATTTAACCACAACAAGGTGACAGGTGAATGTTAGTTGA